AAAAAAAAAAAAAAAAAAAAGCGTTTCCCCAGGCACCCTACCCTGTCCTCAACCCCCCCCAACCTCATTCAACAAAACAATTAAAATGGTTTTCAGCAACCTGTAACAACTGAGGCATTAAAAAAAAAAAAAAAACCCTGAGGCACAGTCATTAAACCACCAGTAACTTTCGAGTCTTTTGAGTCTTTTGACCCTTCCCTTGCCGATCCTGTAGCCATCCTGCGGGCCAAAAAAAAAGAGCCGGCACGGACATTCTTTTGGCTTTTGGCTGGCATCGCCAGGCCATTTTGCTCCAGCAGGCAGGACCCCCAAAACTTACGGTGTGCATGGATGGGGGCCATGGGGCCACATCAGAGAAAAATAGCTGGGAAACGTAACGCACCGGATGTTTAAACTTTATCGCAGTTATTAAGCCACCAGTGGGCGTGCCGGGGAGGATGCACTACTTGGCAAAGAATCCAACTCCATCACAACCATCTTCACCCGGACAAGAATGCCTCGTCGTTATCGCTGTATCGAGATCGAAAGTGGCCCCAAATGCAGCAAAAATGCCCGGACATTCTACTCAGGTGAAAACACGTGCTCAGTAAGGGATGGGCTCAGAGAGAGGATGCACTACTTTTCTTGGCAAAGAATCCAACTCCATCACTTCGGTCTTCACCCGAATAGTGTATCTACACTGATAGTGACCCCAAGTACGGCTATAACGACCGGGCGTTCTATTCTATTCGGGTGAAAACGTGTGCCCGGGAAGGGATGGGGTTATTAGAGAGGATCCACAACTTCCTTGGCAAGGAATCCAAACTCCATAACTCTTCCCCGAATCAAAGCCATGACGGCCCCATTTCCAAATGCAGGCAAAGGTGGGAGGGGGAGGACGGGCAACCATCCCCCACAGCACCCCAACCAAATCTGCCGCTCACGCCGCAGTAGTAGGCGCACCGGAACAGAGTCCCTCCGCAGGAGGCGGCCTTGGGCTAGCAAACCCCCTCCCCCTCGGCAAGCCTGGGGGACCCAGGCAAAGGTGGGAGGGGGAGGAGGGGCTCCGCATCCCCCACAGCTCACCAACCAATCCTGCCACTCTCGCAGCAGGTGCACAGGGGCAGAGTCTCTTCTTCATAGGAGGAGGCCTGACGATATCAAATACCCCCTCTCCCCCCCCCCCTCCCCCCAGGCTTGGGGTGTAATAAGGTGGAATTGAGCAGTTGCTGGTTACGTACCTGCTACACCAATGAGCCGTTTGCGACTCTTTCTGACCCAACGCAATCTGAATACAAAAAAAAAAATAAAAAAAATAAAAAATAAAAAAATAAAATGGTGCTGCTGTCACTTCGTGGTCGTCCAAATGAAAGATTCATACGACATCCAATCGTCTCCGTAGATCTTATCATTGCGTTGGATCTTGTGCAGAAACCGCGCCAGATTCATTGTCAGGGAACTGAGGTAAGTACTTAGTTATGCTTTTTTTTTTTTTTTTTTGCCGCCTGATTAGCTCCACTTTTCAGCAGGTTGGTACAGGGAGAAGCTGACAACTATATCTTCTCAACGGGTCTATTATGAGAGTACGAACCCGGATGGACATGGGCAGCCCAACTCCCCACTTCCCTGAGGTCGTCCGCTCACATTACGAGCTTTGGCTCCACTTAGGGGGCCAAGGCCATTTGGTAGGAGGTGTAAACCCTAAACCCTAAACCCCAAACCCTAAATCCTGAATCTGGATGGACATGGACAGCCCAACTCCCCACTTCCCTGAGGTAGTCCGCTCGCATTACGAGCTTTGGCAGACCCACCCAGTTCTGTGGTCCTCAGCAGTTCCACACAGAGGCATGCTGAGGACCACAGAACTGGGTGGGTCTGCCAAACTGCTGTGGAACTGCTGAGGTCCCCATCTGTGGTCCTCAGCAGTTCCACACAGTTTGGCAGAGCCACCCAGTTTCTAGTACTGTCCCGTCTTCACCCGGGAGGAAGGGAAAGGATCGCCGGCTTGATCGATGTGCACATGCAGCGAACGAGTTTCACTTGGGGACAACTTTGCCAGCTACGACCGCTCCTCTCCCATATGCACCACGACGGTCCTCACCCTTCCCCTCTCTCTCAAGGGGGGGTACCACCTCACACTCCCAGAGCCCCACTTGGGACCGGCACCCTAGCCATATCACAGGTACAGCAGCATACAGGGCAGTGAGCCCCGAATGGACCGGGAAACTGCATCAGGCCCATTACCCCCCCCCAGCATGACAGCATGCGCACTGGCCGCCCGCCGTCTGCACTCCTCCTGGCATCGAATTCATGCACGTGGCGAAAACTGGGAACGCCACCCGTTCACCTACTAGAGGCTAGAACACAAAGGTCTGCTGTGCTAACAGCTAACCCAAACCTGGTGGACGGACCTTTTTGCTTTTTTTTTCCCTTGGTGACCAAACCTTTTTTTTTTT